TGCCCGGGATCAAACTGGTGAGACTCTTGCATAATACGAAAAATTGGTGTAAAGTGAAGAAAATGGAGAGGAATCTGTCGAAAAGGCTCAGATTAAGGGCTTGCTCACCTTGCAATACGGCTGTGCTAAGGCAATGAGAGACTGTCGTGAGCGCGGATAGGAAAGTATGAGGCGGGAGAGTGCAACACATGAGACGATCCCGGACAACACCCTGCTGTGCACAAGGAGCACTGCAGCTGCTGCAGCTAACTTTGGCCAAAGCTGTGATTTTCCTTTCGGGTTCTATCTGCAGACCGGAGGGTGTCGTACGCACAAGGTCTGCAGGGATTGTTCCTTAAAAAGTGCGAAGGCAACCAAAATAATATCGTAAGCGAGGGAATTAGTACAAGAATGTTAAGCTCGATTACCTCTTGACCACCGTGAATCCATTGAATCCATTACGCCAAGACCAAACAATTCCCTCAACTTTTCAAAGATATATTTACCGTCGTTTTTGATCCTCTTCTTTCTCTCTAGCGGCGTTGTTCATCTGTTACCGATTGCGCTTTCCCAACAACGCTTCCCAATGGTCTTCATTACAGATGCATTCAGATGAAACCGCAATCTGTTTTAGAACCAATTTCGGTGTCCACGTTCGCCACTCTTCGAAAGAGCGATGGTCATTTATTTCGAATATGGCGTTATGGTTCTCGGTGAATCAACCATACAGGGATTCGGGTAGCTTCAGTGTTTTTCGCAAGCGGTATGCTTTTTTGCTTTGCGTGTGGGTGTGTAGGTTGCTCACGATGATGTGGTTAATCGGGTTCCGAACGATTGGCTCTTTAGTGGGAAATGTCTTGGCTCGATGTCTTATACAGATGTTGCTTTAATTCCTGAGAGAGGCTCCCTCACACCCAAAGTTTTTGGTTAACAAATTGATACTGACGCACAAGGAAGAAAAGGTCATTTGTCCGCAAACAGAATTCATTTCTGAGCAACTATGGTTTTTAGCCGCGGTATTACTTCTGCATGATGTTTCCGAACTATATTACTGGAGATTTCACCCTTCATATTGAAGTCTAACACAAATTCTTTATGCTCAACCCCCTTTGCCTTCAACATATCACAAGTGACAATCTTTCCTTCAGGTCCGTCCCACAGTGGAGAGCTCAGTACTTGCCTTGATGGACTTCTTCGAGAAAGAAGCTGACAAAAAAGCTTTTGACATCTTCCCGTGAGAGAATTACTAAGGTCATATTAAGGTTGTGACAACATATTAATGCGTATGTTTCCAGGTTCTATAAAGAGTTCACAATGGATGTAATATGCCGCATTGCCATGGGCCAAAAAAGCTCTGAAATGTTCACCAATAAAGCTAAAGTGGCCGCCATTGATGCTGTGAGTGGAACTTCTTCTTGAGGGAAGTCCTTCTAAGGGAAATGTCAACGATGGCTGGGAGGCGCTCCGGTTTTGATGAGGTCATTGGTGGAAGGGCATTGAGAGAAGATTTCAAACACCCCGCTCCCCCCCCCCCAACTTCCTCGCCCTCTTCCTACCCATCAGCGCGGTAAGGGTCTATTCCACCACTGATGTTCAATAACGTCATCAAAAGCACACTGCCCTCCAGCCATCTACGTGGTTACTATTTTACAGGACAGTAACTTTTTGGCGTAATTGGTTTCCTTTTTGCAAATAAAGATCTCAAAACTTTGCAATATTAATGCAGGAAGTTCCAACACACATGTACTTTCTACTTCCTAGGTATTTCGACGCAATTTTCGGCAGCCGCTGTTCTATTTGGCCAGAGTCGCTCCTTATTTAAGAGGACTTTTAAGGTATGATTGTTCTGAATTAGATATTTCTAATATAATTCATTTGTTACACTTATAATTCATAATCACGATGTGCCCCATATACAAAACAAAGAAAGTTGAGCGTTTTCTAATGATCGCTCCTCGTTCTAGATACAGCAAGCACGTAGCGTCCTAGTAATGCTCGGAAAAAGCTGGACATCGAACCTACAGTCGTCCTGGTTTTCTATTCACGCCCGAAACCAGGGTCAAGCGTCCCTTGTTCCAGTTCCAAAAATTTGAGACCCCCCCCCACTATCAGAGGGGTCTCGATACGACGCGTGGCCACTATCACAGCCTTAGGGGAAACCCCCGAAACGACCTGCTCCAATCTCTTGCCGCTACTACCAGAGCACTAATCACCCCCATGAAGAATGCTAACATAACACACTCTAATCCCGCCCACTTTTCCCTTCAATATGGCCTTCGAGCGGGAGGGGTGGGCGGTTAATTCGTCAAATGAACCGGCAAATACTCTAATTCAAACTACTTATTGCTCACT